TCTGAAAAAAACCCAAACTCTTAATTTTCCAAAATCTTTTGAGAGCTCTTTTAAAAATTAGCTTAAAGCTTTCTGTGTGTGACATTAAACTCCTCTATCGTCATTTATTTGATTCTAATCAGTTTGCTTGTATCGTTATAACTTTGTTTTTGTGTCTTGTTCTCTGATGGGACCTGCAGCCCAGTGGCGGCCGACTCACTCTCTTCTCCTTCACCAATGCCCCTGAGTCGAAATAATCTGCTGCCACCTATTGGCACAGCTGAAATGGAACACTTGAGCACTGTGGGATCACAAAGGCAAATGGTATGTCTTTCCATGTGCTTATAAAACTTCATGGACAGTAATTCTGTAGGATCTATGCTCTGGTCTTAATTTATATTTTGTTAAAAGTACATACAGAATTCTATTTTTGACAATGGAATTGGGGGTGCTTGGCCTGCAGTTACCATACCTGCTGGGGTAGATGTAGGACATGCACAGATCCCACTACAAATTGTTTTAACCGTTTCTGTAATTTTATCCCCTTCACAGAAAAGCCATGGCGATACCAATCGAGCTCGAAGTGCAGTGGTGGATGAACTTAACCATCAGCAGCCCCAGGAGAAGCTCCTTTTACCTGACTTTTTCTCCAGGCCCAACACAACTCAGTCATTTTTGGTAGAGTGACCTATTTCCTCTATGATCTTGACATTCAGGGGTCAGGGGGAAGGTGGGGGAGGAAAAAAAATAGTTTGGTAGACTTAAGACTTTACATAGTGGTTAATCAACTCTGAGAATAAAAGTTGAGGTTCTGAAAATAATAGTAATGTTGTAAGTACGTTTTGTTGAAATTCTAACTAGTCTCTGCCCCTAGTTCTTTTAACTTGTAGAAAGAATAAGGTAAAATGCAAATTAATCCTGAAACATCACTGGAGGCAAAAATGACAACACAAAAGCTGTCCTACTTTGGGCACATGAGAAGGCAAGGGTCTTTGGAAAAGACAGTAATGCTGGGAAAAATTGAAAGCAGGAAAAGAGAAAGATAAAATATGAGATGAATTGACTCCATAATAAAAGCAATAGGCATGAGTCCACAGAGGCCGAGGAGGGCTACTGAGGACAGGACATTGTGGACATCACTCATTCACAGGGTCACCAGGAGTCAGAACTGACTCAGCGGCACCTAACATACAAAATGTCTTATACATAAATTACAAATTCTAAACAATTTAGATATTTCTGAGAAAAAGCAAAAATAATAATAATACATAAATTACAAATTCTAAACAATTTAGATATTTCTGAGAATAAGCAAAAATAATAATAATAATACATAAATTACAAATTCTAAAAATTTAGATATTTCTGAGAATAAGCAAAAACCCCAGTGCATATCAGGTCAGCATAACTTCATTCTCTAATGCTGCTCTCATGGAGTTATACCAATAGTGGTGTCAGATTATAAAGTGGGTTGGCAGATGATCAATCTAAGACTTTTTCTTTTTTTTTTTTTTTGGTACATTTACCAGCCCCTTTACGTCTAAGCAAGATAGGAAACACCTGGTTAGGAGACTGGAGCTCATGCAATTGACTTTGCCCAATTGTAGGCCATGAGCTCAGCCCCACCTCATTTGCTTTGTGGCAAAAGGGCTTGGAGAGCCTGGAGAAGTGACTGGGGCTAAACCCAGTGCCCAAGAATCAGGGGCTGCACAACCTATATAAATTTTCAGGATGGTGGTGTTTGCAGCCCGCTTATCTCAACTCATAACCCTTGAAATGTTACAGCCTAAAGCACCACTCGATTTTTCCCCTACTAGAATAGCGCGAATTAATGAATGGCATACTATATTAGTTTCCTAGGGCTGGCGTAACAAATTACCACTAAGTGGCTTGAAACACTAGAAATTTATTCTTTGTTCCAGAGCCTAGAAGTCCAGAATCAAGGTGCTAGGAGACAGCCATGTTCCCTCTGCAGACTCTAGGGAAGAATCTTTCCTTGCCTCTTCCTAGCTTCTGGTGATTGCCAGCAATCCTCGGTATTCCCTGGCTTGCAGCTGCATCACTCCCATTTTGGCTTCTATCTTCACATGGCCTTAGCAAAGTTTGTGTCCAAATTTCTCTCTTACAGAGATACCAGTCATTGAATTTAGGACCCACCCTAATCCAGTATAACTTCATCTTAACTTGATTGCAACTGCACAGATACTATTTCCAAATAAAGCCACATTCTCGGGTTCCAGGTGGACATAAATAGACCTCAAGAGGCTTGATTTAGGGCGAGATTCACCCAAAACATGGTCAAAAAAAGGGAAAATGTGACCATTTGAGTCTTACTCAGTGTGAACCGTAGAAAGTTTGAAAACCTTTATTAAATTTGTCTTCTCTTAATTTGATCTAGGACATTAGTTAAGCAGTGTTTGATATTCTATAGCTAGATTCTATATCGAATAATTATTTTTTGATTGCCTGAGTAAAAGTGAACACATGAAAATATTTCAAAGTTTCTTCTTTTTCAGTTTATAACAAAAGTAAAAATGTCTTACCATAGCCATTTCTCTCTCAATTTGCTGTCATGAAAAGGGAGATGAGCTAGTAGTCATTATAGCTAAGAGTACTAGAGCTGAGTCCTGGGCTTGGCACTGCCAGACTAGTACTCTGCGCCTTGGTGTTCTCATCTAAAACGGGAGTCGGCAAACTATGGTTCATGGACCATCTGGTTTACTACCTGCTTTTGTAAATAAAGTTTTATTAGGGAAGAGCCACCACGCTCAATCATGTACTGTCTATGGCTGCTTTCCCAGTACAACAGCAGAGTTGAGGAGGTGCAACAATGGCAGTCTGAACCATAAAGCCTAAAATATTTACTCTCCTGGCCCTCTACAAATTACATTTGCTGATCTTTGATCAAAAACATGGGCTTCACCAGAAAAAAATTCCCGAAATCTCAATTCTAGTGCTCTGACAGGGAACTGAAAAGGATGTTTTTTATTCCAGAAATGCCAGCAAGACAGCATTGATAGCTTTTTAAAAATATATTTTGCATTTTAATATTTTAGTCATATCTTAAAATCTTTAAAATCCTTGAGGTGATTTTGAAATGTTTGAGTTTCATATTGAGAGTCACAAGTAGGGAGAAGAAGTCATGGGTGTTTCAGCGCTGCTGAAAGGCTGTCTTGCTGTTTTACAGTCAGCAGGCAACAAATCAGCCAAAATTCCCTTGGCAGTCAATTACAAATATTTAGAAATATTAAACCATACAGATTTATAAATGCTAAAATTTTCTTAAAGGCATATTAATAAAGTTGTAGAACTTGCAATTTTTATGTTAGTAAAAGGCTTTGTGGGCCTCTGGCTTGGGATTTTTTCCGTGGCACATAACAGAGTGCACTCAGCCGACCTGACCCTCAGATTGGCAGATGATACCATTTTCAGTGTTTTTTTAATTTCCAGGTTTTCTCTTGTAAAACTACTAACATATTATCCTTCGGGAGATACTGCATTTTAAGAATTTGTCTCTTTTCTTTTTCAGCCAGACACACAGTATTGTCATTCATATGCTGTTGAGTATCATCAGGCCCGACCTAGTAGGGGATCTGCAGGGACAGGTGGGGCCATGACTCTTATTTTACTACTGTATGGATGTTAAGATCCTCCCTTTCTTATTTTTTTTCTATGCTTATTTTCCCTTTCTCCAGACTTTATTGTTTTGTTTTCCTGCATCTTTGTAAGTCACTTTAAGTTCATTTTGGAAGATGGGATATAATAAAAAGAAACCTCTCTTTGGGCTCAGAGCCAAAAAGTTCCAGATTTGTTTTCTCTTATGTAAACTAACTTTTCACTCCTCTGACAAAGTAAACAGTACTTAAATTTCAGCCAAATAAGTCATATTCATAACATTCAAACATTGTTTTATTATTATGTAGGCAAAATCCATATTGCTATAAACTGCTTTAGTCAGTTAACCTGCTAGGCCAAGGTAAAACAAAAGAAATTCTAAAATGTCCAGATATGCTGAATCCAATTCTATCCCATTTAGTTTTTTGATTTCTAAGTTATATTCTATAGCTTCTATTTTCATTGGAGTGATGGAAGAAAATTATGGATATTTTAATTCTTCCTATAATGGTGGTCTTCCTATATGGTCTTCTCACCACCATCAGAATCATTCTTTCTCATTATGTTGTAGGTGACATTTAAAAGTACTGAGCAGTTGATATGCTTCCTGTTAATAAGATTAATCAACAAATACATTAAAAAATAATCTGCCTTCAACCCATCTCTGTGGTCCAAGTGAATTCTCTTAGTTCACTTTCTAGCAGCAGTTTAGTAGTTTTTGAATGCTTTCAATGGATTCTGTTCTTGGAAGAGAAGTAATCCTTCCTCTAAGCTAGATATTACATTTGGCCATGTTGATGGTCAGGTGAAACTAGTGCAACATTTAGTGAAATGAAAGACATTTTAGTCCCTTTCAATTAGTGGGCTCTTCTCTAAAACTAGGTTACTGCTTTCATCTTAATATTATTAGTTTTTACATAAAATATCTAAGGTTTTTTTATTGCCTTGGTAAATACATTCTACTACTTAGTCCCAGTCTCCAAATTTATTGGAGGAAAAAGCCCTTAGGTAAGAATTTGAGATTACCAAATATAGACTATTAATGTGACTCTATAATGTCATTTTTGTCTGACAGGTCCTCAGTTACATGGGTCTACAAAATCTCAAAACAGAGGTGGACCAGTCTCTAGAACCAGGCAGGGACCATAGGGCAAGAATCTGCTTCAGGCTGCAGGGGACATATGGGAAGATTTGATGAATCAGTGTTCACTCATCGTGTGATGCAGAGCTTATATATGAGACAACCTGAAACCATCTTCACGAAGAGTTATTTTGGTACAACTGACTGAGAAGAAAAGAGTATCTGCCAAAGATTACATGGGTACTGTTTCTATCTCCAGTTACTGTTTTCTTTCAGCATAAGTGAACCTATTCCAATGGACAGTAAAGTTTGTACCCAAAGATTTAACAAATGAATAATTACCCCCAAATCACTGCTCATGTTGTCTGTTAACAATGATCAGTTCAATCATTATGTGATTCTATGAGACTATACATACACAAAAAGCAGCAAATGATTATCTGATAACATTATCACTGGCTTTCGAATACTTCTGCTTGTATTAATATATGGAGAGTTGTACTCAGTTTTAACTCATTTTTAAGAGATAGTGCTGTTAAAAATCTGAGCTACTCATCAAACAGATGTCATTCCTAAAGCTTTCTCTTTAGATATCTAATCACACAGGCAGATAGAGTGGAAGGGGTAACTAAAAACATAAATGTTGAACACTGGTGTAAAGTAACATGTGAAATCATGCATATATTTATTTCGGCTGTGCCAGCTCAACTTCACAATGCCTGCTTGATATCAGGTTATGCTTCTTTTTTTTCTTAAAGTACTTTTTAGTGGTCATATTTTTTTTACAAATATTAAACTCAACTTGCCAGTTTTCTCCTGCAGTTCTAAGAAAGTCAATTAAAAAATTTATAGAATCTTTCTACTAGTGAGCCAGATGCAATTCCTTAAAATTTCAGAAACCCAAAACCCTAGTTCAGTATAAACACATCCTAAGAGCAGAAGTAGAGAACTGTGGTGTTCTTCTGATTTTACCTTGGATCTTTTCCTGAGTGTACTCATGAATGCAGCAATGGTTTTAACTATGGCTTAAATTTATTTAAATTTCATTGAACTTTAATTCTGATGATCATACCAGTTTTAGATCTTATTGTTAATCTTTAGAGTAGATAAATTCAAATGATCATAAATTGGGGTAATTTTCTATTATACTAGTGTGCTAATGCTATCATATGAAGACAGATGCTTCAAGCAACCTGCATTAAATTATATTTTTAATACAATTGAAGAGTATTTTTTAACCTGTTTGTAATCACAAACTGAAAACGTGTCACATGCTTACCTCACATAAATTGATACATAAAGCTTAGTAACAGAAGGCTTGTTTTATGCATATGGTATTGACTATATTAGCCTACAAATCAGATTTTAAATTGAACAGTCCCTACAAAACTTTCATATATTGTAATAAATACATACCAATTCAACTAAATGTTAAAGTGAAAATATATGTACTATTCTCAGAAATCAATGCCATGTGTGCACAATAAAAAAAAACCACTGGATCAAGATGGCTTGCCTTTCAAAGTTAGAGTTAAGAGTCGGAAAGTGCCTCTAAGAAGTCATTTACCCAAAATCCATCAGCCCTTTCATAAATGAGAAAACAAGTTCCAACAAGTTCAGTGACCTGCTTAATGACATTCAGGCAGTATTACAACATCTCTTTATGCTACTTAAACTGGGCTAACTCCTGTAATGCTGACTAGGACTTTTCTTCTCTCTTCTCTAAACACCATTCGTATTTTTTCTAGATCATATTTTAAATGATCACTGGGCTATTTTTATTATTAAATTTTACAAATGAAGTATACCAATGATAAATTAAAACTTGTCATTTTTTTACTTGTTTATTTAATCATGTATAAGTCTTATAAAGATGCCTGAAGTAATGTGAACACCTGTTTATTTTGTACTTCAAGCAAAGAGTACAGAGCCTGGTTGAGTAAAACAAAAAGGACAGAGGGTATATTCGAGAATATTAAGACTAAAAGCAAACTGTCAAGTATTTGGAAGACAGATGTCCAGCCAGTGTTTTGAAGGCATTCTAACTAGGTACAGTACCTGTCCTAATAAACATGCACATCACTCTGAATACTCTGCAGCTCACTCCTGTGTGGCAAAATGACAACTGGTAAAGGACAGACCAGCATTCTAGATAAGAGTTTCTTGTACAGAAGATCCACAGAAAGAAGTGCTGTCTGGAAGTATACCAACCTCCTCCTCTTCCCTCAATTATCACCACCAAATTCTTTCCTTTGAGGACTTCACAGAAAGTTGGGATTTCTAGAATATACTAAGATCAGGTTGAGAGATTCTGGGTTACATAATAAATCTGAATAATTTAAGCAGTAAAGACAACTCTTCTCAAGGGTTGGATTAACTTTTGTCTTCAAATCTTGACTGTACCTTGCCTATAATGGCACCAATTAATACCTAACGACTTTTGAAGAGAAAGTTCCATTATTTCTTTTCTTTCTTGAGAGCTGTTTTTTTCCCTCCTCGTTTGGAAGGCTTGCAGTACTTTGCTTCCATCTGAGCCAGAAAATTGTCCATTTCCTTTTGTCGATCCTTTTGTCTGCTCTGTTTGAGAGTTAAAACACAAGCTTTCAAAACACAAGACTATCCACAGAGACAAAAGTACTTAGTCGTTGCCAGGGGCTGATGGGAAGGGAGAATGGGGAGCTGACTGCTAATGGGTAAGGGGTTTCTTTTTAGGGTAATGAAATGTTCTGGAATCAGATAATGCTGATGGTTGTACAACTTGATGAATATACCAAAAACCAATGAATTGTACACTTTAAAAAGATGAATATATGGTACGTGAATTATGTCTTAAAACAGGGGCCCCCAACTAGTACTGGTGCATGGCCTGTTAGGAACCGGGCTGCACAACAGGAGGTGAGCAATGAGTGAGCCAGCGAAGTTTCGTCTGTATTTGCAGCCGCTCCCCAGCGCTAGCATCACCGCCTCAGTTCCACCTCAGATGACCAGGCATTAGATTCTCATAGGAGCACTGTTCCCTGGTGCCAAAAAGGTTGGGGACCACTGTCTTAAACAAACAAACACACACAAAAACCCCACGACACTATACATATACTTCAAAGAAAACATTAGCAGTAAGAATCAGAACATGAAAGAAATGGCGGCAACCTTCACAGTGTGCCACGTTTACCTGAATGACTGCTTTCAAGTTATCTACTCCTTCATCAAGTCCCAACTCCTTCCTGCTCATTTCTGCTTCTTTAGCCTCTTCCTGCGCCTAAACGAGAAACTCATATGAATGACTCCATGGCAACCTAGCAAATGATAAAAATACACCCTCTTTGCCAAAACCAAATCTATGACAAGACCCTTTCAATTTGAGGATTATACAGATAAAAAGGATAAAATTACACAAATATGTCATTTATTAAAAAGCAAAATTGCTGAATGCAAGCAATATATCCTCTGATTCCAATAAGCATTTCCGAGTTTTTGCCATTACTACTTGCTAGGGGTAGCACATTGTTTGGTATTAATAAACCACGTGGTAAGAGGAAAAAAAATAAAATGCAAGGGAAGTTAAGAAAGGTCACAACCAAAGATGCTCTCAAAAATATTTCCAGGACAGAGGCACCTCAGATTCCTCCTCTGGAAACCCAATTTACTACAGGTGACTAGTGGCAGCCTTGAAAGCAACCCTGGTTTAAAATTCCCCCTAAGTAATCAGAATAAACACTAGCAAATTCAGTTTTAACCTTTCTTTACCCGACTTCAAAGCCGCCTTCTTTTGCCAAATTTTCCTAGAGCACTGATGCCAAAATACCACAAGGATACCTTGGAAAAGGTAAGTTCGTTTTATTCTTTCAGGGCAACAATTAAGACTATTAAAAGGCCCCAACCCTCAGTGAATTTTCTAAATAGCAGTAAATACTATTAATACTGGGAACGATAACACATTAGAACCTTGTTATTCCAATAAAGACATAAAGTTTCCAGTGTCTACAGACTTGTTTCCAATTGCTTTGTTTTAATACTCTATCCCCCTCCCTAAGTTTGCTAAAATCTCTTTCCCAAAACTCTAGGAAAGTTTCTCAAGCTAATATCCAAATACTGAATACAGCTGTGCTCAGCTTCACCTGAGAAAATGATTACTGACTTAAACTGTCAGTTTGAATCTAATCAGATGTAGCTTATGAACCAAAATGATGATCCTGATACATTCCACTTCTCTCAACTCAACACACATGTCAGCTTTCCCTTCCGTGCATCTTATATCTAAATGCTGTAGAGCTACCTCCACTCCCAGTTCAGCCATATAAAATAAGGTATTCACCTCAGGTACCAATCAAAGGTCTAAAATCTTACACCATCCGCTCTCCATGGAGCTCCCATTATGAAAGCCAGGTTGAGGCAATGGTTACTTTGGTACCAGTAACCATTGATCAGAGGCACAGATGTTTGCTACTTTGAATCTACTTCCTCCCAGAACCCCAGCTGTCTCTAAGCTCCTATCTCCTGTCATCTTCCTTACCCCAACCAACTCCACAGTTTAATATGCATGTAAAGGGCACACAGACTTCAATCCTGATTCTCCACAAAAGTTTTCCCTCAAAGGGTATTTTAAAAGACACAATTAAAATAAACTAAATAGTTTGTTTAAAAAATGTGTAATCTGGGCCCAACTCAAGAAACTGGGCAAGAGCAAAGTAACCTGTAATACCAAGACACAGCTTTTTTAAAAAAGAGTCTCTCGCACCTTCTCCTCACCCCTTAACCACGTGAGAACCATTGTCTAGCCTATGTATCTCGACTACATTACTGTCTCCTGAGAAATGCCTCAGGAATTGGCCCATATGAAGGATATTTCAGTGTTATTTGAAAATGATATTAGTTAAATAATCTACACAGACAAATCCTCTTGAGCACAACATACTAAGAAAAATAAAGTTTCTCTTGATGAGCGTATGCTCATTTTATTAGATGAGAACTACATAGCAAATTAATCTTTCTCCTTATTTCAGCAGTCTTATCTATATTTCCATTATTGCAAATATCCTCAAATTCTTTTTGGAAGCATTCAAGATATAAGTAATAAATAGCATTCAAAATCTTACCCTCCTTTTCCTTGCATTCATCTTTTGCTTCGATTCTTTGACAAAGGCATTATATGAAGGGACCTCTCCGGCATCGATGGCCTGCTGAAGAATGTTCCTTATCCTGGGTTCTTCTGTATACTGTACACACAGCACAGACTCCATGATCTGATCCATGTCCCCCTTGAAGTCCAGATAGGCCTGTTTAACATCAGCCAGCTCTTCTTCAGAACCTTTGTATGTCTTTTCAAAAGCTTGAATGTCTTCTAAAGATATCTAAATAAATAAGAGATATATGCTTTAACTTTGATAATTTTAAATAAAATGTATACTAGTAAAACTAGACTTAGGCGTTGAAATATTTCTTCCCAAATACAACAGGTGCTTGAGTTGAAATAGTTGCAAGAAATCAACGTTTCTATGCCAAAGCTTTTCCAGAGTTCTCCCTAGTCCAACCTTCACAACTGCTAACCATAGACCAGGAAAATTTAAGTGGAGTTTCCAAAGATGGGAAGGGACCCAGAAAAACACTCAGGACTTACATTTGGATATGTAAAATATAGCACATGTTGTAAAAAATTAAATCCCCTCTTTTCACTACACTCTAAATCAATAGGTAATTAAAGACTCATTTCAATAAGTATGTGTGAACATACGAAAACACATGGTTCAACCTAAGGTTTAAATTATTTTTCTTCAAAGATTACAGTATATTATCTCCTGAGAAACGCCAGTGATATTTATATTTCGAGACTAAACAGAAATTCCTCATTCCTACAAAGTACAAAATGCGAGACTTTAGAGGCATTCAATAAACGTTTGTTGAATGAATGATAATAGTCACAAAGAAGTCTCCGGAGTCCTCTACCTTTTTAAAGAGTAACCTCCAATACGTTTCCCAGTCTCGATCTTGATTGAGCACATCAGAATCCTCGTCCACCGTTCCCTGCTCATCGTACACTGCTCTCTGCTCTTTGTCACTCAAAACAGAATAGACTTTCCCGAGGATCTGCGAGGGCAAGAGCCTGCAAGTCACCTGCCCCTC